TAGAAAAGCCAGTTTCTTGACTGTGTGTTTTCTTAGATGAGACGGTTTCACACCGACCCTGGCATGTAGAGTTGTGATGTCCTGGGCAGGAAAGACATTATTTAACGTGTTGAGCCTCCCTCCTTAACCTTTACTCATTCATGTTAAACCAACAGTGGATGTTTTCTACGAATTTGATTCATGTAGCGATTTGCTGTCAAATTTCCCTGAACCACAACCAAGTCAGATCTGGTGGTGTAGGATATGGCCCCCAACATCATCACACTACCGCCACCGAAATTGTCGAATTCACGTACACAATGCTCATTTCGACGACAATAAACACATTGTCTTCCATCTCGCCGGTGAAGAAGAAATCGTGATTCATAGCTAAACCACTCTCGTCTCCAGTTTCTCAAATTCCAAGGCTGTAATGTATGGCACCAACGCAAGTGTCGTTGTGGATGTATCTGTTGCACAACGGGGACCATAACTGGTCTTCAGGACAGGATTTCAGCCTCGTGAAGATGGTTCTTGACAGTCTGGACCGATATCCTCCTCAAACCAGGGACGCATTCTGCATTCTCCGTAGCTGTAGCATTGCCATGACGTTGGTGGAATAGTCGAATGTAGCGATCCTGTGCAGGGGTGGTAACTCTTGGTCGGCTGGTTCCCGGACGGTCTGCAGTGGAATTGAACTGTGTATTAGTCACAAAGGCGGCAAATGGTGCTGTTGTGGACGTTGAAGTGGCGTGCAACAGAGGATTGCAATTCCCCTCTTTGGATACGTCCCATGGCCATATTCCAATCGGCAGCACTGCGTCTCGGCATTTTCGAACTTAATGTTGACAATTGAATGACCAATTATTGGCTTATGCTTGCCTTTTTATAGCCACTACCACGAGTTACGAATGCCATAACTTTCACGTGCTTTACTGTTTTTCTCCATGACAAGTGTGAAAACAATGCCGTTTCAGACATTGCAAATTGACAATAGCTGCGTTTTGACGCACCGGTGGTCGAATATCAGGCCGCCTACATTTTCCAATAACATATATCCAATTTATATACAGGATTAGTTGTGTAGTCAGGTTCAATGAACAACATACTACCTGTGTGTTTCTTTTTTTGAGGGGGGCACGGGTGGCCCAGTCGTCTAAGGTGCCGCGATTCGCTGTGCAGAGTTGCGTCCCTTTGGCACGCCAGAAACCTATGATTGTGGGTTCGAATCCCGGTTCGCCCCGATTATGTTTCTATGTTTGTCAGCACCATACCCGTGGTAAAGATCTGAGACCTGCATCACTTCAGGGTTTCCTCCCACATTAAGCTGACACGCTGCGCTATAACTGGAATACCGTTAAAAGCGGCGTTAAACCCAACTCACTCACTCACTCACTGTTTTTTTGAAGAATGTATTATATATCCTTTTTGTTTCACTGTCAGATATACAAACGGGAAAAGGCTTTTGGAAATTGAATAACTCATTTTCAAAGAATAACACTTCGTTGCATTGGTTTAAGGAAAAAAATGATATTCTAGATCAATATGAAGCTAAACCTGAGAGAGTATTTACAATTGATGACAAATTACTTGGGGAAATGATACTTTTAAATATTTCTGGAAGCTCAATATTATTCACATTAACGCCATATATTGTATAGCTTTGGAATCCAGATTTGAACAAGACTTAAATCGACTTGAAAAAGAAGTTAGGAAAACAAATACAGAGAGAGATGGGAGAAGTAATACTTAAAAGCAGCTATATTAGAATTGTAAATTGTAAATTCTGCATACAGTAAGAACTGAAGGATCTTTTATTAGATAAAACGCTACATGGAACAAGGTGAAAAACCCTTGAAAAAAAGGATAAATAATGAAATCCTCTCCCGCATGGGTTTCAGCAGAATTTGTAAAATTATGTTGTGTGGATCTTCATAGATATTTGACAAATGCTCTAAATTACACACACAGAAATGGATCTCTATCAGTATCCCCAAAACAATGATTGATCAAAAAGAAAATAAACCAGAATTATTTTAAAGAATTGGCGCTCTCTCTCCCTTCAAAACACATCTTATAAGTTAGCTGCAGCATTAATTACAAACAGAATAAAACATGTTTTGCCTTGAAATGTTCATAAGGCTCAAAGAAGGTTTTGTAGCTGGTAGATATATAGGTGAGGATACAGGAATGATTTATGATGTGAAGGAATGTACTGAATCTTACCAAATTCCAGGTTAATTAATTTTGACAAAGAAAATATATGCATAATGTATTATTTTTTTTTACAATTTGGACCAAGTATTCAACAGTGGGTAAAAGTCTGTTTTCAAAATAATAAAACAAGTGGATTGGTAAATGGATATGCTAGCCTCTTTTAAGGTTCAAAGGGGTTGTCGCCACTGGGGATCCGATATCACCATATATCTCTATTCCTTGTGCAGAAATCTTAAAAATAATGATAAGACATAATAATCAAATCAATACCGATGGGTAATATTAAATTTCTGCTTACACAATTTGCAGATGATACTACATTAAGCTTAAATGGATCTGAAAAAAAGCCTCTATAACACAATGAGTACATTAATTTGTTTTGCCCAATTTTCAGAATTTGAAACCCCCCCCACTGAAACGTTGGTTATGGACAGGGTCAAATTAAATCAAGATACAAGTTATGTATTAAATTTTGACTGGTCACAAAGTCAGTTTAAGTCATTAGGCATAGATTTTTATAATGATTTGGAAAATATATTTGATTTAAACTCATGTATTGTGTAATTGACACTATGCTGCTGATGTATGGACGAAACTTTCAGATAGACTTGGGAACTATGCAGAAGTTAAATTAGAAGTTAAAAAGAAGTAATGAGGATGTTGTCTCGATTTTGAGAGAAGATGAATAACTCACTCAAAGCATTAATTACGGAAACAAAATCTATGCTTTACACATTCAACAGAAAAGAAGTAAACCATTTTGTTTTCAAATTGAAAAATATATACTTAGATATTATGAAATTACAAAATAAATTCCATATCCAAATTGTTATTATGTAAGTTCACTGCCTTCTGGTCTTTTATACCTTTATCTCCATCCTGTATAAACTACGACATGTGATCTGTCCATGCTACATACTGTATTTTTGTTATTATTCTTTCATCTGGCCTTTGGTTTATATGCAAAAAACTGTATCTCGCTTTAATTATTATGCTAAATGTAACAACTAATCCATGCACATTCTATGTATGACATTAAAATGTAAAATATGATGGGAAAGATGTTTTAGAAAACCCTGCCACGTTCATGTTTCTGTCCGAGTTCCGCTTAAATCTGCCGCCACAACACTGGATATTTTGCCAAACCTTCAATGACTGAGAATTACTACAAATAAAAGTAGAACAGTCTCCCCTGGCACATAACACCCTCACCCGACTAGAAAAGAAAATTTGAATTGAGTGAAAAGTTTTTTTTATGAAATGGACAATGTCTAGGAGAAGGCAACAGAACACTCTCTAGTAAAATATTTTAAATTACACGTTACACACAACGCTAAATCCTTCTACAACATTTGACCTTTTCAGAACATTCTATTCTGTTTCATGAAATATTGTTTGCGTTTATAAGGAAAAAAATGGTCTGTTCGAATATTGATGTTAAATGTGAGCGTCATCAACACAACACGTTCAAAGTAGATGTTTTCAAGGCTAAAGAATGCCTGAATAAAATCTAGGAATATCAGTATTGTGATCTATCAGATTACTTGTACCGTTTCAGATATCACTCAGCCTAACCATGACCAGCCACGAGGAAGACGTATCTGATCCAGGAATCCCTATGACAGGGATACATTCTGAGGAAGGAGATAGACCTAAATCACTAAATCAAAGAGAATCATGGAGTAGGCATCTAGATTACATGCTAACTATGGTGGGCTATTGTGTTGGATTAGGTAACCTGCTTAGGTTCCCCTACATCTGCAACAGGAACGGTGGAGGTAGGAATGCTATAAAGTAACGTACAAAAAATATACCTGAAAGAATCACTGAAGATGAACTAGTACAAAGAGTTCAACCAATACAAGCCGAAATGCTCGTTAATTAATTAAGTAAATTGAGAAAACTTGATATTGGTCTGTTTTATTTGGTCACTTTAATGATAGCTTTGGAGGAGTAAAAACATATCATTTGGGTTGTTTTCGTTAACTTTGACAATTTGATTTTGAGTTGTATTGCGATAATCACGATCGTTTGTACAATTTGCACTAAGCAGGCTGTAGATGTTGTATCGAGTTTAACATGACTAGTTTGGTAATATTCCCTTGACATCCATTCGGTGTTGTTCAAGTATCCCAGTCTGTACTTAGACATTTGAAAGCGATAATAAGAAACTGTGGTATTTCCCCCTGAGATGTTTAGGTGCAACAATTTAATTTTCGTGTGTGGGGTTGGGGTTGGGGATGGTGGATAATGCATTCGTGTATATAAAAGTGTGTGAGTGAGTTTGGTTTAATTCTGCTTTGAACAGTTTTCCAGTTATATCACGGCATGGGTTTGATTATCAAATTGTTGCTCGCTAAATACATGTTTGTGGGTAGGTGGAATGGTTTTTACTACGTCATGGATGGTATCTTTGGGGCTTCTATTTTATTGATAACCCATGAACTCAGGTATGATGCTTGAGAAGCACGGATCATAATCAGGTCGAATGGTGGATTCGAACCTATGATCAGAGGATCCGTTTTGCCATGCATGCCCTACAAAATGTACCATGTCCAACTAAACATATCTTGTCAAATCTATAGCATCAATTCTCTATTGTATTTTTAATACACCATCCCACTGACCCCAAGTTCGGACTTACTTGAGCAAAGAGATCACTAAAATTAATTTGATGGTTTGACTTCGCTGATTGTTTGACTTTGCTCTTAGCTCGAACTACTGGATTGTCTGGGCCAGATTTAAGTTGGAAAGGCGCTACATTATTAAATAAGAAGTGGATATAACGAATTAAACAACGCTAAGTCACTACTTGGTACTGCCAAAAATATGTCTTTCTTTCAGGAGCGTTCTTGATCCCTTTCATCCTTTGTCTTCTGATCACTGGGTTCCCAATGTTTTTCCTTGAGTCGGCAATCTCTCAGTTCTCGGGAAAGGCTGCCAAGCAAGTCTGGAGCTTTTGTCCAATGTTTAAAGGTCAGTGGTCAATATTTTATTTCTTAATATACTCTTAAAAAAAAGAAATGCAAAGCCAGATCTGTGTGAGGTAGGAAAATACATTTATACGAGGAACCGTACCAGGTATTGAGCCAAAATGTTTTGGAGAGAACACTTGGTGATTGTAGTCAACTCAGTTATCAGTACATAGGAAAAGTCTAAGGTGAAGGTCAGCTACCATCAATAACGCATATGTCCCCCTTTGGAATCGATAGCAGCCTGACATCTCCTGCCCATGGAAGAGACAAGTATGCGAATCACATCTTGGGCAATGGTAGCCCACTCGGCCTGCAACGCTAAAGCCAACTGCTGCAACGTCTTGGGTTGTGGTTGACGTCGGCGTAGCCGTCTATCCAATTCATCCCACAAGTGCTCTGTCGGGTTCAAATCCGGGGATCTGGAGGGTCAGGGGAGAACATCAACGTTGTTGTTGTGAAGACAGGCTCTTGTGATCCGTGATGTATTTGGTATCACAACGCTACCCCTGAAAACCTGTCCACTTCCTGTACGCAGTTTCCGGCGTAATGTTCTCCCTGACGTCTGTAGACCCGTTCTCTTCCATCCCCTCGACGGAGGAGAAATCTTGTCACCATAACACATTAAATCTCTTCCTTTTGCACCTCTTGTTTCTTATAGTGTTTTGATCAAATTGACTACAATGTTATGTTTATTTTAAATCAAGGGTTAAAATGTTACATAATTAAGTAAATGATAATAAGTATATGTTTGCTTGACTAATTAATATTGAGTATACTTAAATATATAAAGATAATAGAAACAAGTTGATAAAAAATACTCTCAATCATTATTGAGAAAAACATATGTGAAACATGTTTTAAAAGTTTGACAAATATTTGATGTTCATTGTGATGTTATTTATGTTAAGTAACCATGAACATCTATCATCCTATTCTAGAAGAATGTGACTGAGATATTGTCGGCCATTAAAAAATATGCGTTGATTGTTAACATGTTAAAATGTGTTTTTACAATGAGCAGGTATTGGTATTGGCGGCGTAATATTTACATTCATCTTCACGACCTATTACAACCTCTATCTGGCCTGGCCCATCTACTACATGGTGAAGTCCTGCTCCAGCGTCCTGCCCTGGACAACTTGTGGCAACAGTTGGAACACCGACCTGTGTGTGGAAGGTGTGAAAACAGCCTACAACAGTAACATGACAGCCCTGTCAGTCAATAGTACAGATACAACCACGGCGGCTGAGTCGTGGGAAAATGTGACTTTGGCGCACACATCTGCAGAGGAATTCTGGCAGTAAGACATCAACCGTGTTACATACCATTCAGACAAACATAGAAGACCCATTTTACTTTTAATATAAAAATTTCAATCAGGAAGATTCTTACGTCAAGTCTGTGAGTATTGGCAGTAGCCTACGAACTATCACAGGATGCTTTTGAAATAGAGAGCGAGGGTAATGAGGACACTCACGTTTGTATTGCGGCAGTGCAGGTGTCATGGTGTTTATATAAACTTTGAAGGCACCACTGATTTAATCGAATCATTACTAGAACATTTATCTCCACGTCTACATACGATATTGTATTGACATGAGAGTAGTTCCCCTTTGGAAAAGTTAGTTAGTTGGAACGTTAACTGTTGAAAGAGTGTGCCGATAGTACACTCATGCATTTCATTACGTTTTCTGTCGTTAGATACGTTATGATATACACTCGTTGTAATAGAAACGTTATTAATATTGGACTCGAAAACTGTCACTTGAGACACATATAATATCCTGTGACGTGTATGGTGGAAGATGATTTCACATTTTCAACTTTTTTGTTTGACTTTCAGGTACAACGTCCTGGGTGTATCGACCGGCTTGGAGGACGTGGGGTCTGTGCAGTGGCCCATAGCTGGATGTCTGTTTGGCTCCGTTGTTATGATCTTTCTGTGTCTTATCCGTGGAGTCAAGTCTTCCGGCAAGGTTAGTTGACATAACTCATTCCGTGTAATATATTGACTATGTTATCATCGTAGTGTCCGACCCGTGAAGATCCGGGCTAGAATAGGTCTTCAGCAATCCATGCTTGGCGTAAAAGGCGACTATCCTAACGGGATTGGGTGGTCAGGCTCACTGACTTGATGTCAATCACTGGACTCGATTAGTTACAGACCGCCGTCATATAGCTGGAATATTCCTGAGAGCGGCGTTAAACAACAAACCAACGAAACCAATCGTATTGTCCATACACAATTACTGTCTTGTTATTACATGAAACAATAGTTAATGCATACATCGAACCTCTGCATAATAATCATACTCACATGTAAAGACGATTCTGTGACGTCCGATACACAAGTTAAATGTTAACTTTTAAAGTAAAAGTCCCTTGTCAGCTCGGCCGAACACCGATCTCGGACCATTCTGAACAAAACAACTTAGATTTGTTAATCAAACTGTTATTTTACACATACTTATATAACCTTCATAAAGAACATTCCTGACATAGTACATACTACTTGTACCTTATAACGTCCCATGTAACACAAACACTAATCAAGGTAAATTAAGTCTGAACGTTTTGTCTCGTGCATTTGCAAGGTCCAAGAATGTGATGCGCGATGTCTGCTTTCGTATATTTTTTTCAATTCCGTATTTTAACCGACTTGCATATAAGGCGATAAATCTTCAAGGAGAGGAGTGAGTGAGTGAGTTAATATTTAAAGTCACATCGGCACTATTTCAACAACATCGTGACTTGAGCAAGTTAAACATTTATATTATATATAAAAACCAGTCGTCGAAGGACAGTACAACTACTAGCAATATATCACAAATTATAATTGTAAAACTAGATTTAGAACAATAAAATGATCAAATTATATCAGATGACACATTATAAAAACGGGCTATAGATCGATAGCAACCAAAGTTAGGCCACCATACCAGGGACCATGAGGACTTACGGTACTTCTGCTACCTACATGGTACCCCAGCAGGATTTACACCATCCCTTGGGCTACTGGCGATGATCCGAAAGATTAGCCAAACAGTTAAAATCAACAAAAATAATACGATAAAAAATACAGAGAAAAGAAAAGATACTTTGAATGATACCGGAATTACGTCCCCTCCCTGGGGTACAATTGTTTTACGATACTTCAACCCCCTGTGAAGATACAGCCACTAACAATCTCAGTTATGAATTCATTCTACCAAATTAAAAATCACTTACTTTATACTTGTATTATAATCAATATGTATCTATTAATTCTATTTCTTTAAAAAAAACGATGATTAAATGAGCACTTACTTGACTAGAAATATCCTTGATGGATGGAACTTTGAAATACTTATCCTTTGTAATGGAAAAATCAATACAGTCAAGCAGTACATGCTTGACTGTGATTCTCTCATCACAAGGGATATGAAAAGGAGGATCCTCACATTTTAAGACCGCCTCCGTGGTCTAGTGGTAGAGCGTCCGCCCGGAGAGCGGAAGGTCCCGGGTTCGATCCAAAAGACGTTAAAAGATGGTACTTGTTGTTACCCTGACTGGCGCTCGGCATTGAGGGGCTAAAACAAGGACTTGTCGGCTCGGAGTCAGTATACTGTGTCTGAGTGGGGTATTCATGTTAAACTGCGGTGAGCTAGCACTATAAATCGGCATCAGTCCGGACTAGTACAAGCAGCCACAGAAACACACACACGTACATGCACGTCGCTATATAAGTGCAATAATTTTGGACGCGACGTTAAACCCCATTTCACCTCACCTCACCTCACCTCACATTTTAAGACATATTCGTGTGTATATCTTGGATGGCATATGCCACATCGTCGTAAAATGACCTCTTCAAATCTGGATTGACAACCCAAGTAGGTGTAACCGATAGTTGGCTTAATGTGATGTAATATATTTATACTTCGGTGTCCCACTTCTTTTGCATAAGATCTCTGGTGTAACATTTGATCACAGGTTTATAATCACTGTATGGAATTAGAAGTGGTGTCATAGATCTGTTGAGTGCTGCTTTAGCTGCAGCATCAGCCATTGTGTTGCCTTTTATGCACATATGACTGGGCAACCAACAAAAGACAATGTCGTATTGGCCAGTTGAAAGATCATTGTAAAGTTCTAAAATATTTAAAATAATTTGATGATTAGAAGAGACATTTTGCAGTGCCTTAAGACAAGATAGAGAAACAGAAAAGATGATAAATTGTTTATATGCAGACTGTCTTTGAAATGTATACCAAGGATGTAAGGATAACATTGGCCTCAGCAGTGAACATAGAGCTATTGTCTGGTATTCTAGAGGATGAATGTTTTGATCCAACGACAGTGGCACTTGCTACTTTGCCACCGTCCTTGGATCCATCAGTAAAGATTGAACGGTGAGTGTCATATTTATTTCTTAATTGGACATATTTCCTGTTGATAGATTAGTTGATTAGTGTCAGAATTAACAAAACGGGTTAGGGAGACGTCAACTTATGGCCTCACCAGCTGCCAGGGAGGAGTAGACAAGAACTGATATGGTTGGTTGGTTAGTTTGTTGTTTAACGCCGCACTCAGCAATATTCCAGCTATATGACGGTGGTCTGTAAATAATCGAGCCTGGACCAGACAATCCAGTGATTAATATCATGAGCATCGATCCACCCAATTGGGATAGATGACATGCATCAACCAAGTCAGCGAGCCTGACCACCCGATCCCGTAGAGCTGATATGGAGAGATAATATCTAATGTCATGTTTTCTGACGAATTGAGATTCACTCTCGACTTCCATGACCGACGGAATAGAGTTTGGAGAAGTCCTTATGGGCGTTTTGTGGACGTTAACGTCCTACAAAACGATCGTGTTTGGGGTGAGTCCATGACGGTATGGGGTGGTATCACAATTACTGGCTCTATATTGTCCATGGTCAGAGTCACAGGTCAGGGCCTGTCGGGAAAACTTAGAAAAGATGTACTCATGTTTTGAATATTGTAATACACATGTATATGCAATGTTTTCACGCATCACCACAGTGTATTCTCCACAAATTCGAAATTTGGAAGCTAAAACATATTTTTGAAATTCCAATATGATTGCCGTCACATTACCCTCTTTAATATACCATTTTTGTTATGTAGCTCTCAAACTAAGTTTATACAAAATGCTCCACATTGCGAAAAGATAAGCGGAGCCTGCCCCTACGGTGGCGATCGTCACACACACATTTAAAGGCGATGAAAGGGTTCAGCTAAAAAACATATACAGTGACATAAGTCAAAATAGGGATTTGCAGCGGACATCAATTTTGTAATTTTAAATTTATAAATGTCCTCCAAATGCATATCTACCATAAAAGGTTTTGAAAGATCTTCCGAGGCCTTGAATGTTGTGGCATTGAGCAAGAGTCGTATGACGCTGTTGAAATAACTTGCCTTCAGTTACGTTTTTCTTCCTTTTTCTATTATTATTACACGATGTATTGATTACATAGATAGTGCGCACAGGTAACAAAGGAAAACCGTTGCATTAAATGATGTTTTTCCCCTGACAACAGGTTGTGTATGTGACTGCACTTCTGCCGTATGTTCTCCTTACCGCCATCTTCATTATGACACTGCTTCAACCAGGTGCTCTAGATGGCATAATCTACTACGTCGTACCTGATTTCTCAAAATTGCTTGACACACAGGTGAGATACAAAAGATGACACTTCTTTTATTGATTTAAACATTCATTCCTTACATTCACGACTATTCTCATTTTTACGTTGATTATCCTTAAAATATTACCATTGACTCATTTCAAGCATCCTTCAATGTCACAAACCATTCAACATTCAATCTTCACACAGAGAAATTCAAATAATGGTTGTCTGAAGCTACCTTAAAGGCGCTTTGGCATGAACTACGTCAGTGGTATCATGGTACTTAAGAATCTACATATCAGCAACAACACAATCCCGAGAAACGAAACATTTATCACCATAACCATGTTTTTGAAACACTTTTTTCCCAATGCCTCCTTTCTTTCAACACTAAGTACTCGTTTACTGGATGTCAGTGAGTGAGTTTGATTTGCTGGGGCTCTTCATAATATCATTGTTTTGTGCACTTTTGCACACATTTATTTGTCTGATGATCCTCTTGTGAAGGATGTCAAAACACGTGATGAAAACAAGGCATTCCACAGTTTTCTTAAACGAGCCAAGGATGTGGGACATAATCACAATATCAGTGTTGATTTTGTTGAATGTTCTGTACTGCTGGACGGTACAGAAATGAGTGTCTACCAAGCGAAGTGCCATATATAATTGGCCCAGATTTTCAAGGAGAGGCTATCTAAACGACCACTGCATAGAGTTCACATGCAGTGTGTTGAGCAGATCAGCAACCCTGCAGAGTCCTTTGCTTGGATGAGGTCGGCTGGTCTGAAAAGTGAAACGGAAGGCTATCTGTTTGCTGTTCAGGATCGGTCACTTCCCACTCGGAACCGTCAATGTGTGATTTTGCATCAAAATGTAAATATGAAATGTAGATTATGTAATGAATTAAATGAGACATATTATTAGAATTTAATGTCCAACATATTGTCAGTGGATGCACGGAGGTCCACCCATGGTACGACCCGGAATATGTAGAGGGCATAATAATAAATACAAAATTCATTGGAATAGCCCTGTATTCAATCTCCAGGCCAACAAACCTGATCATGTCCTTTTTGATAAATCCAATGAAATCATTCACATTATTTAATTTTCTGTCCCTTTTGTCACCAATGTGATTGGCAAGATTCAGGAAAAACATGGCAAATATGCGGACCTCGCTTTCGAAATGTCACGCTTGCATCCCAAGTACCAAGTTGTCCGACTCCCTTTTGTTCTCGGTGCCTTAGGTTTGATACCTCCCAATCTGTTGACTGACATTGGAAGAGTACCCGGATTTGCTACCAGGAATACAGCCCTTCTGACAATCTGGGTAATGCAGAAGGCTGTAGTGTTGGGGACTCTTCACATTCTCCGAAAAGAGCTGGGTCGGTTTGACTATTGACTGGGCTCCGCTTCCCCGGAAAAGTCTCATTCACTGTCTTGGCTGCGTGCAGATGGAGCAAGGGCCCTAAATTGATGATGAGCCTAAACAGCCTGTCTGTGCCAGGATCACCCAAATCCTCTTTGCTGCATTTTGTTATTTTAATCTGTACATAATAATAACCCCCCAATTGCTTCGTGGTTTAGAAACAGCACAGGCGAAGATTAGACATCAAGTATATTGTGCTTACTCCTTTAATGCAAATTTCCAGATTTGGTTATGCATATTTAATTCAGGTATGGCTAGAAGCGTGTCTGCAGGTGTTTTACTCACTGGGGCCTGGCTATGGAGCAGTTGGAACTGCTGCAAGCTACAAAGCTTTCAATCAACCATGTCTCAGGTGAGCATTGCAATTCTGTTTAACGCAACTTCAAACAGTTGTCACTTACATCGTGGATGTAATACAAGTATGAAACGAGACCTACATGTTGTGTATGTTGGTAACACAAATCATGGATCATCTTAAGAGGCAGCTGTGCTCAGCCATTTGAGGTGGCTCATCCATGACCCTCAATTGAAATGAGTGAGCGAGTGTTGTTTTACGCTGCTTCAAGTAACATTCCTGTAATACCAGAAATGGGCTTCACACATTGTTCCCATGTGGGGAACCCTGTCCGGTCCTTCTTCTTGATGAGCGAACGCTTTCACCACTAGGCTACCAACACTCCCAGTGGAAATGAGGTACACTCATAATGTATAATTGTTTATAATTACAACGTATGTGTTGTATCCTATTTTCCGCGATTCTAATAGAAATGCTATTTTTCGATAACTGCAGGAAAGACTTACGATCCAGAACTACTTTCTCATAAGGGATTCCCGTGACCTCGCGTTGATGCACCAACTTGCAACATCTAAACTAATAGCGAGAACTCTGATGTATCAGTCTGCCAAAAGAATATGAAAGCACTGTTATGAAGTATATATCAATTGAACGAACGCTTCAACGGTGAATAATGTATTGCAGTAAAAGTGTATAGTACTATACAGTACATACTTTCTTAGCAGTCATATAGCATCCAATTAGCTTTTCTGTTTCTGCAAAAAAAACATAAGAGCGTGGTATATTGTACACATTTGTAGGAAAAGCCTTGATTCTTTGACAAATGGCATGTGGAGGCTTTTGATACAGACAAATTATTGCATGTTGATTGGATTATTGTATGTTCACAGAGATTGCTTGATATTGACCATAATATCAGAGGGAACCAGCATCTTTTCTGGCCTGGTGACATTTGCTGTTCTCGGGTCGATGGCACAGAAAATTGGTGTTCCTATTGCAAAAGTAGTTTCGACAGGTAGGGGATTTATTTAGCATGTTTAAAGTCTACATATATTTACAGTTTTCATTTGTAATGTCACATAATTTATCTAGTCAATTGTTACATACAAATATATACCTTTGTACCTTGGGATAATATGATATGTCATTTTATTTAATGGATAGTGTTATATAAAGACGCAATTAACTGATCTGATACATATGCAACTTCACCCTCCTAGAATGGGTAACCATTAAAAGATCGACATACGATGTTAAATACAATATGTGTTTACCGATATGTGGCTACTTATTAAAACAAACATGGCTGCCCCCTAAATCACCATCACTGACACCGTGGAGTTCGTTCAAATATAGAGAACAAATTATGAAGCTCACGTTACTGGTTATTGACTTGCGAAAGTTATTAATCAAATGGCCCGAGCTACCGAAGTTAACCTGGCGAATTCTCATTTCTTGAAGTTTTTCAATTGCTGTTTCTCCTGAATTTGCAAAAGGATGAAGGGGTAATGAAATGTATAAAGCTGAAGAACATGTGCAAGGCAACCCACCAATGTCAAACTTAACCTTCATTTATAAATAATGGGGAAATCACTATACCACCACCAAGAAAAACAAGAGAACTGATGAAAGAGAAGGTGACATGATGATAAATATATGTGAAATAGATTTCAGCCGTGTAGATCAATATCCTTAAGGATAAGATTCATGGATGAACAACTTCTTTATTACAATTAGAAGCGACGTTTCGGTGTAGGTTCTAACACTGTTATCAAGCAAGGTGTTAGAACCTACACTGAAACGTCGCTCCTAATTGTGATAAAGAAGTTGTTCATCCATGAATCTTAAACTTACTTAGTACTCCAACTTCTAAATGCCTCTCAAAGAAGTTAGATCAATATCGCCTTTCCGCCTGAATAGCTATGACAAGTTGCTGGTTCTCTTTTCACACATGCTCAATGGGCCAGTCGAATTTCAATATGCCTTCATGTCGACGGTAATCAGTGACGACCTGGGCACGTCATTGTAATTGTCATCTTGCAATTAAAACTTTCTGCCAATAATTCTTGCGAATGGAACAACATGACGCAATATTTCGTCAACACATCGCTGGCTAGTCAAATGTCCACTTACAATGATCAAATCAGTTCGCATGTCATGCGTGATATCGTCTCGCATATCGATCATGGTCTAGAACTGTTGCCCTGGCATACCACTAGGTCGCCAACAACGTTTTCTACCACCTGTCAATCGGAGGCAAATCTTGATTGGCACAAGGCCGCTCCTGGTGTTGTCTAGCTCGCCCCCGACTTTGGCAAGCTGTTGGGTTCACATCCTTCACAGCCTAGCTTTCAGGCGAGCTGCTTTGAGCTGGTATTTAACCAGAGATGTGGATATTCGCCTTCCTATTATTGTACGGAATTCTCCATTGATAACTTGAGCAGATTTGAATCTAATGCAAATGAGAAGTGCTTATTTTTTGTACGAGAGAAAGTCACCGCTGGTGGAAAACCAAAGATATTTTTGTCGTGTGGTGAGAATTTGCTAATTTTCGGTGATGTTTCGTCTCAACGCAGTGGAAACTGTATTTGATTTTCGGTTTTTGTGACTCGTGTTATGTTGGAATTAATGATACCAGATTATATAGATATATCCTCAGATATCATATTTTCGACCATTTATTATTCCACTGCGAATATTCAAAAATATTAGCATTAGTATTAACATTAAAATTACATCTGTATTTATATTTCTGTTCACTGTCTACTTAAGAGTAATTGCATTAATATTTATGTATTTCTGTTCATTGTGGACTTTAGGAGGAATTTATTCGCGAGGACAATTGTAGATCGTTTAGAAGGCATTTTAACACCACCAGCTGTTCATTTCCTTGGTATACAGGAGACAACAATCTGCAGTTATCAAATTTCTATGTCTTGGACAATGTGTGTTTAGATGGTAATTTAATATATCCAAAGTGATGACATGAATTAGCGACTGTTGTAAATGTTGTTACAGTTTGTTGGCAAAACATATGTTACTTACATTCAAGTGCTTTCGTCCATTTCGCTGTCTTTTTTCCGTCTGTAGTGTGTACCGTATCAGAGACCGGGTTTCTGATCAAATGACATCTTATCAATATGGACTTTTCGATAAATTAGAAGCGGTAGTTTATTATACAATGACCATTGCTCAATGTTCTTCCTTTTGTTTAATTAGCAACAATTTAATAATGTGTTTCATGCAGAAGGTGGCGTGTTTACGAGAAACAGGAAGTTGAAAAGACTGACGACATTCTTGATGTTGATGAGTTACATTTGAATTATTGAGTCACAGCTTTCATATTTTATGGACAAATATGGACGCAAACGTATCGTAGCATATTCTAACAACTCCAACTTGCTGTTTGGCCACTAGAAATAGTTCAAAATACGTAATTCACGCACAGTGGCCATTGTTGCACGAGGGTACGTTCATAAATACAGTGCCGTGTATCTAAAGGCTAGGCGAATCTCATCTAAAATACCATCGTTCGTAATTTGAAATTTGAATTTTATTATTGAGAAGGAGTTGTAGGTATTTTGTTGTTGTCATTCCAAGATAGAAATGTGCTTGTGTTTTGGAACTTTATCCCTGATTGTCTTTTTTCCTCTTGATTTCTGCACGAACGTACATTAGTGTACGTCTTTGATTTCTGCTCGGATTTAAGTGACAAAAATACGTTCAGTGATTTGGTGTTGTAAAACACGGAATACGTGCGCAACCAAAGTGTTTATGTTGTAAAAACAAGCACTCGTCACCAGGACTCAACACACTGTTTGCATCCGCTGTTTATAGTAGGACTCTCGCCATAAACGTCAAAAAAGTTGAAGGAACCGCGCCATTTCGCAGGTACAGGCATAAAGCTTTAAATCGAGTCACAGACATGTATTTATCACATAATAATGCATATAAAAAGAAGTTTTACTTCTTCTAGCTCCTGAGTATGGAGGTAGTTGTTACTGCACTGGTTGATCAGTATCCACGACAGCTGGGAAAGAGGAGGATGTTGGTTACAGGAGGCTGTTCTCTCGTATTCTTTCTTCTTGGAATCGTTTTCTGTACACAGGTGATTTTATTTATACAGCACTCAATTTTACAAGCCATGCCAAGCTTCATTTGTGTACTGGATATATAATATGCAGTAATATTATTGATAATAATAATAATATTAATCTCTATCAAATAGCAATGTTCAAAAATGAGCAATACCACTACCGTTGATAGCACGCTTCAGCTCCATGATGTTCCAATGTTGAAATCGAAACAATGAACCTTGGTTCTATTAACACAAGAATTCAGCTGTAGGTCTACTCCAACACGCCCGAATTTTTAGAAGACGACGGCCTGTAAATAATCGAGTCTGGACCAGACAATCATGATTGACATCATGAGCATTGATCCGCGCAATTGGGATTCGAAGACATGCGTCAACCAAGTCAGTGATCCTATAGTAGATGGGGAAACACTGTATTCCGATACAAGAAGGAGTGTTGGTTGTGTAGTAGCAGTAGTAGTAGTAGCAGATTTAGAATAGGAAGTAATGATAGTAATAGCAGTAGTGTTTGTAGTAATAGTACTAGTAAGAGCGGTATGAACATAAGTGGTAGTGGCAGTGGTGGTGGTAGAAGTAGCAGGAGAAACAGCAGGGACAATATTATCAGTAAGCAGGGGATTTGGCACAGTATTAGTGGTGCTATTAGTAAACGTAAATGTAGTAGTATGTGAGTCACTGTAATTGTGTGCTCCCCAACTTCGAGGAGGATTTGGCGAGAAAATCGCGAACGATGAGGTGCTGATGTCAAGTCACAAGCGTAGGTTCCTAGCTCCTGGATATATTTAGGGCGGGTTAAGGAAATGTGAATCTGAATAGGTGTTGTATTGTGTTATGTACATATCTGTCGTTTGTGTTGTTTTCGTGATCGTCCTGACAAGTAGTAGTAGTAGTAGTAGTAGTAGTAGTAGCTGTTGTGATATTCACATCAGTTGTGGCATCAACCGTACCTGAGATGAAACAGCAGCAGTAGCAATAATTATAATTCACAGTTTCACCCAGTCATCACACATGCCTCACTGTATTGCAGGGAGGGCCGTACATGTTCCAGCTGCTAGACTGGTATGTTGCCGCTTTGGGGCCTCTGTTGTTCTGCACACTGGAGTGTGTTGCTGTGATGTGGATATATGGTTAGTGTACATGGCATCAAACGATATTACTAATATAGGCCAAAGAATAATCTTAATTTCCAGCAGCTGTATCCTTACCACAAGCAAAACATATTCCTGTCTTTGATAGGCATTTAGAAAGCATTTAGAAGTTGGGAGAACATGAATACATGACAGTATAACGACGAAGCCAATGAGATTAACAGGAGAGGATCAATTAAGTACATTGAACATATCCAAGAAGTAAAGGTAAAGTGAAATATCTTGTGGCCTAGTCGGAGACAATGTCTGACCAAATATGGTCATAACATAACAAGGTCGATATATTTCTTTCAGGGACAAAACAAATGAGTAGGGACGTAGAGATGATGACTGGAAAACCACTATCGCCACCAGTAAAGATCCTGTTGGCATTTGTGACACCAGCAATCTTAGTGGTAAGTTAATAGTCATGTTTCATCTTTGCATCAATGTGAGCCGACACAATAGTGCCAATAACACTATACATTTTCCTCTTGTATTAACCCAAGAATATTGTAATAATACATATGTACTAAGAGAAAGAAGCATTCACAAGTTCTGATTGGTGACACGAAACTGAAGCAATGCATAAACAGTATACGTTTTGTAGGATTTACTTTACACATAAGGTGCATTTTTTATGTATACATTTACAAACATGAAGATTTCCTATTATATCTGAAACGTCAATGCCAGAGAGCAATCAGTCCACGGTCTCGATCATCCGCGTAAACAGATCCTACAGGACGTAAAAGGCAAATTAGTGGTGAAAGTATATGAATGGACAAGTGAAAATCAGTGAAGACACTGGGCGTCCATGAAGAAAGCAATACAAGTGCTCACAATATACTAAACAATGTCACACATGACAATTATGTAACCTGAATGAATTTGTTCTTAACATTTATGTTTCAGACAGTTTTAATCCTTACACTTATAAGCTACCAGCCACCGACCTACGGCAAGTACGAGTTTCCCAGCTACGCCAGTATCATTGGCTGGTGTTTCGCTGCAATTCCACTTCTCACTCTTCCGGTCTACTCTATCGTTGCTGTCAGAAAACACATGACAACACATTCTCTGAAGAAGGTAAAATTTGATTTCACTTTATCTGGACCGAAAGATGAACTATATTACTGGGCTTATTTCAGAAGCAAACGCAGAATAGACAAGATAAAATAAGACAAGATCAGATAACTCCTTTTCTTTCTTACATTAGAACAAGGTTTCAGTTTCTTGATGAACACATGTAGAACTAACAATTATTTTTCTTGAAACTGATTATAGAAACTGGTACCCGTTTGTAACTTGTGTAAACAGTACAGCTTCAGCTGACCCTTGTGAGTTTGGAATCAATGAAAGTGCCCAGATATTGATAATGATCTTCAACTTCTCTTGCTTCCTTATCAAGTAACTACTGGATTAAAACATAACCATTCTAAAATCTATAACCGTTCCTCTTGTTTTGGTTTGTTTTTACATTTTAACACAATAGTTATCTTTACACCGGAATTATCGTTTAAAAAACTCCTTCCAGTTGTGGAGTTCGGACTATTTGCTGGTACAGCATCATCTGTACACTTGACAGTAAAACAATTAACAGTTAACAACTGAGATATAAAATGGGCGAGATGACACATCCAACTCCCGATCATAAAGCCATCGCATGAAGTCTGTTCTAGGAGCCCCTCTCATAAATTAATACATGTACAAAACAAGATATGTACTGACTAACATTTCAATAACCGTATGGTTCGAACTATATATTTGATTAACAATTACATGCACATGGAGATGAAACCATGCTAAGCAGGGAACTACCAACTGCTCTGTCTATTGGCCTCGCCAAAGCCTCCATATTAGTAAATACGTTTGTTTACCTTTCAGAGTGTAAAACTCGCCTTCACGCCTGATGACGACTGGTATCCTGCAAATTCCAGATACAGGGAGGCCTTCAGAAGGAATCAACAGACAGAAAGACCTTCCCTGAAGGCCAACATCATGGACATGTTTAAATGATAAACCTGTAATGTTCTAATCTACACCGTTGAATAGTCTACTGAATATCATCTGCAAAAAAAGAAACGCAAAAGTGAATTTAGATGCATATTTTATATATGTTATATAAATAATCAACATAATTATGGTAATCAAATGTTCAAGATTGGCACACATCATTGTCATTAACCCAAGTTCCATATGGCATACATGAAACAGTAGATGTCCAAGGTGAAGGTCATCTGTTCTCAATATATTGTATGGCAACCATTAAGAGTCCCAAACTGACTGGCATCGTTGTGTCATGGAACCAACCAGATCCTGAATTGTGGCCTTGGGAATGTTCCCTCACTGTTGCTGTTTGTTCTGCCTTGTGAGGTCGGGCATTGTCTTATTGGAAAATGACGTTTGCTTGTTGCATAATGTGAAGGACGTGCGGTCGAAGAATCTCATACGTGTAACGTTGTGTCGTTAAATTCCCCAGAACCTGCTTCAAGTCTGTTCTACTATTGTAGGTGATGGCTGCCACATCATCACACCATCACCACCAGATCTGTCCACTTCCTGTCTGCAGTTTCTTGCATAACGTCCCCCGCGACGCCTGTAAACACGACGCCTACTATCTTCACGGCGAACCGTAACAAGTGACTCGTCACTAAACTAAACTTGTCTCCATCGCAGTTGTGGCCATACTCTGTGTCCTTAACACCACTGACGTGACAGCGGACGATACAGCTCCGTCAAAATGACTGGTCGTCTAGTGCGAACACCTTCACAGTTCCACACTGCCTGGGTTGCTATTGCTGTAGTTGTAGAAGTGGCCGCGGTGGTTCTTTCACGTAAGTGACGTATCCGTATGAATCTGTCCCGTGCACTAGTAGTGGTCGACCGGATCTCGGAAAATCACTTGTCCTGTATGTTTCACAGTCTTGTAATGATACTTTGAGCTACAAGGAAAAACCTGGCAGCAGCTGAATATGATTGTCTTGTTTGCAGTCGGCCGATGGCGTTGTTGCGTTGGGCTTCCGCCAGTCGTGGCATGTTGTCGCTGTTCACTTGCAACAAGATTGTGATGGCATGCATGTAAAGGAAGACCCAACGTTTTGATGCACGTTGCACGTGCGTGAGTAGTATAGTATCAGTAGGCAGGAGCTCCTTTTGGTGGAGGGAAAAGTGGAGGGAGCCTGAAAGGGTCCCCCAGCCTATCGGAGCGAGCGCAAGGGACAGCGCGTCACAGGTGTGGGGGAATGAAAGGTGTGTGTTTATAAGGCAGAAAAGAATTCGTAAGTAAACAAAAGTAAAGGGTATTCAATAGAGCTATGCGTATGGCGTGTTGCCCTGAATAGACAAGCAGCCCAGTTTGAATTGAGCGCGCTTGACAACTCACGTCACCACGTCGTTTCAAATTGTTTATTGGTCATAATGGTTTCGTTTATTTCAGGCGTTAGTAGAAATTACAATTAGTGTACAACTCACGTAGTCGTTTCAAATTGACCGCGCTCGCTAGAGCGTGCGACCTGGTTTGATGAATGCAGGATGTGTGTTGAAAGTACGACCATACCGCAATAGAGACGGGTTGTGTCAACATGATATACGCCGGGTAATGTAGGTAGGGAAAAAAAATGTACGTCTAGCTGGATCAAATTCATCTTGTACAGTCTACACGTTGTACACCATGAACGTTAAACAACCTGTATAGAAAAAAAAAATATAGACAAAATAGATAAGACTACGCAATCAGCAAGCTAGCGGTGTCATTTACGTTTAGCGCGCAACAACGAGGTAGTGACGTCACCCTGCATTGACTATAACGCTGAAGGCAGCCGGATTTCGAATCACCCCGCGCTGCGTACTATTGTGAACCATTTGTATAGAGGGCGTTCACTTATTCAACCCTGTCCCGACTTGCATAGCTGATGTTTCAATGCTAGCTTTTCCTTATAACGCAATGATAAAAAATAAACTGTGCGGTTTGAGTTTTAACCGTGTAACATGATGTAAGAGTGTCTTCCAAGAATCCTTGCACGTGTAAGACAGTATAAACTCTACAGCAGTGTAGCCCGACAAACAGTTTTACTCTCACCAGCAAACGGATTGGACGTTAACAACATGAAGAAAGCATCAGAGATTAGACTTGACCCTAGAGATATATTTAGGAAGACTACGTTGAGAAAATCACAACAGAGAAAGAAACCACAAGCAGCCAAGAAGTCGACGCTGAAGACAAAGAAGAGACAGGTAACACCTAAATGAAAACGATGACAACCAAACAGGGATCGAAGACAACACCCCAACCCGTGAAAATACAACATGTGTCGGAGGTGAAGGCTGTGGTGGAATGGGCACTTGCTGCCTTGAAGCGTCAACAGAGTCAAGGGTATAAAGAAAGCTTCATACCCTCTAATTGCACACCGTATTGGATCACCATGGGGGTTACCACCTGTCCGGACTGTGAAAAAATGTTTTCAAGGAGAGATGTCATGTTACGACACAGGAGAAATAAACATAGCATACTGCCGCCGTTACAAGCCCAGCCGTCGCAAAACCACCCACCATTACAAGCCCACCCGCTAACGCCGCCGCCGCCGCCGCCGCCGCAAATCCACCCGCCATTACAAGCCCACCCGCTAACGCCACCGCCGCCCCTGCCGCCGCCGCCGCCGCTGCGTCAAGCCAACCCGCCGTTACAAGCACATCCACCGCCGCCGCCGCCATCGCAAGTCCACTCGTGGCTGCCTCATTTACCATGTATATCTGATCTTCGAGAACAATTCAAGTTCCTGATTCCCTCAAATGCGCTCTTTGTGGGACCCAGTGGTTGTGGAAAGTCTGTGTTTATCTCTCATGTACTCCGGCATGGCCTGATCCAACCCCAACCTACCCGCATCGTTTGGTGTTATACTCAATGGCAGCCATTATATCAGGACCTCGGTGAGCAGCTGCCTCAGCTGACCTTTGTCAAAGGAATTCCCTACGATATCTTGGACGAGGATTACTTTGATGCTCGTCAACAGAACGTGTTGGTCCTGGATGATTTCCTGGCCGAAGCAAAGCACGACAAGCGTATTTCGCGGCTGTTTACTCAAACCTCACATCACAAGAATGTATTGATCTTTCTCTTGATACAAAATCTGTTTCCGAGAGGTAAGGAATCGAGAGACATTGCTTTGAACGCGCATTATGTCACCCTGTTTCATTTCCCCATAGATAAACAGCAAATCAAACTCTTCGCTCGTAGAATTTTCCCCGAACATATGGATCACTTTATGGCTATGTATGAAAAGGTTGCTGAAACACCCTATGGACAACTCACCATCGATCTAAAACCTACCACCAAAGATAAGGATGGACTGCATGTTAACCTCATAAATGAGGAAAACAGGAGAACAACAGCACAGTCTGAACCTGATCTGCGTAGGGAGAAGTTGACTACAACAGAATCTCTGGATAGTCCTCTGACACAAGAAGAGAGATTGCCCCAACATCAGCTCACTCCAATTGAAACCGATTCAGACACGAGTAGTGAGACATCATTGACTATGGCCACGGCTTGCGCAGATTGCGGGGTGCTGATAGATAACATGCACGATCTATAGCGACATATCAAACACTGGTGTCCGGTGTATAGCCTTCAACCTAAGAGAAAGCGTGCCAGACTCGAGAGTGATGACGATGACAGTGACTTTGACGACCTAGCCTCTTCCCAGAAAGGCAGTGGTCTTGCCGTCAAACCTCCACGTGGGAAGTCAACATTCACTAATATGGAAGCCGAGGAGTGGCAAAATGTAGGCTTACAACGCATCTGGAAGCAGGTGTACGATACGTTTCATGTCAAGATGAAACTGCAGAAAAAACAGTACAAGCGACAGGGATGTATTGAATGGATTGAGAGAAGATTGAAACTGAGGTGGGAGGATCTAGTGCGTAGTACTCTCAACTATGCGATGGAATATACCACGTACTTTAAAGAGGCACCTCTGTTTCAAAACATGCTATACAACCTGGGAGACATGAATCCTTCCACGGAACAATCCGTTCTCAAAAATAAAATCAAACTCCTCCTAAAACCCAAGATGAAAGAGATCCTGCCTTTGATGGATATGCCGGAAATAGAAAGTGAGACTGAATCTGATAGCGTTGCAGAGGATAACGACGGTGATGACGAGGAGGAGTATGATGATCGTGAGCAGAACGATTAGGCATAAATACCCATCACTACTATATCAGTCTAACAGTCAGAAGAGAATGCCGAGTCAACGCCACGCGTCTAGTTTGATTCATATTTTGAAAACACCTCGTAAACTGAGGTGTTTGAACGATAAGAAACGCCGAATTTCCCTCTACGTGAGAGGAATTTGAAACTGGGACCTCCTGGACGGAAATCGTTACAAGCAATGGATAAAGCATAGACTATAGACAATAATTTAACTTTAAAACAGCGTAGGAAAGGAAACATTCAACAGTGCGAAATGTGTTTCAAAACATGGACTCGCTGTTTAAACAATAGGGCCTTCGAGCAGCAGCAGCATGTGTATATGAGTGACTAAATAATGTTCCAGAGTGAATAATATTGTCCATTCGTATATCACGGCTTTGTATGGAACCGATTGACTCGAATCAATAAATGATACGAATGAATTGTTGTTGTTTTTTTCACAGTTTTTGCATATTAGTATATAGTCTTCGTCATACTACGTCCGTGAAGGTCCGGGTTATAGAATCGACCTTCAGTAACCCATGCTTATCGGCGACTGACGGGGATCGGTTGGTCAGTCTCGGATGACACGTGCCATCGGTTCCTAGTTGCACAGATCACTGCTCATGCTGTTGATCACTGGATTGTCTGGTCAAAGCTCGTTCATTGTCGGACCACCGTCCTAGAGCTGGAATAATGCCAAGTGTGGCGTAAAACTAAATTCACTCACTCACTGATACCAATACATCTAAAAAGTAATGTCATCATCATTTAGATGGTGAGTTTAAACGCGTATTTTACCCTTACAAGGACGAGTGCATTCCAC